ATCATACACTTGAAAATGGTTAATTGTATGTTATTTGAATTTCACCTTAATTTAAAAAAGCACAGAGAATGTTCCCATTTATATAAAGTTTAAAACACACACACAAAAACAGTATTTTATATCATTTGAGGATGCATGGGCATATAGTAAAAGTATAAAGGAGTGTAGGGAACTGAGAAATGGTAAATTCTAGATAAGGTTACCGCTAAAGGGTTGGGAGGAGGTCATGACTGGAAAGGTTACATGAGGGGCTTCCACTGGATTGCAAACATTTCATTTCTTAAGCTGAGCAGTGGGGCAGAGGGTGCATTGTATGTTTGACATTATTCTTTATACATTTCGGCATATACAAAATATTTTCTCCTAGCAATTTGAAACCTCACATCACTCCAGCCTGTACATTTCCTTTGGATCCTGTTATGAGCTGAACTGTGTCCGCCTCAAATTCATATGTTGAAGTCCTAACCCCAGTACCTTTGTTGTGACTGTATGTAGAGATAGGATCTGTAAAGAGGTAATAAGTTAAAATGAGGATTTAAGTGTGGGCCCTAATCCAATGTGACTGGTGTCCTTACAAGAAGAGATTAGGCCACAGACACACACGGAGGGATAACCATGTGAAGACACAGCAAGAAGGCGGCTGTCTACATGCCAAAGAGATAAGCCTCAGAAGAAACCACCCTTGCTGGCACCTTGATCTTGGACTTCTGGTCTCCGAACTGTGAGAAATTTCTGTTGTTTAAGCCAACAGTCTGTGGTACTTTGTTGCGGCAGCCTGAGCAAACTCATATGGATCCTGTATCCTTTCCCTTTTCCTCAGATCGCTGCAGGCCACAGCTTTACTTCCACGCTTCCTATTCTCCACCTTACATTCTGTGACTTCCTAGTGTGTTTAGCCACCAGAGCAGACAAATATAGCACAGAAAAGGGTGGAAGGGCCCAGGGCTCAGCCACTGGCTGAATGACTCATCCCTTCATCTCCCATGTTCAGTGTTTTTAAAAACCCATCTTTCAGACCTGGGCCCAGACCATGCAGGAGGTGGGTCTCCAGAGGGAGAAACTGACAGTGAAGATGCCAGAGGCTTAGAGAACTACTTGGGCTGACAGAAGGCCTACAGGGGAGGAAGCCCAGTGGGACTTAACTGCCCACTTGCCCCACTCTGGCAGGATGTGTCACGTCCTGGTTATTTTTGTGGGGGTTCAGAATTAATCACCCCAAGGTGTACCTCTGTGGTATGCACATTGTTTGAGCGAAAGGCAACTTTAACTGTGGGCTCAAGAGAAACTTCTGCCTCTCCCTTTACTAGCTAGAAGAACTTGAATTAGGAACCTTGACCATAATAAGAGATTATCAGAGATAACCTCTTTTGCCCTATCTACAGGGCAGAGGAAACTTTTATTTACTAAACATCTGCTCTTCTTATCACCTGCAATGACTCTTTGAAGACCCCAAGTCACCTTACCTCGTCCCTAGCTCAGAATGTCTTATATACCCATGTTCCCTTTCTGTCTTTGAACCTCTGGTGCATGTGGGATCTCTGACTTTCTCATGTATATGGGGTTCCCATACATACGTATGTATTAAATTTAGTTATTTTCTCTTATTAATCTGTCTCATGTCTATTTGATTATTAGACCAGCCAAAAGAACCTTGAGGGTAGAGGAAAGTTTCTTCCTCCCCTGTACTTGCATGGACTCTGCAACAAAACTGCTTAGGTTTGAATCCTAGTTCTGCTACTTATTTGCTGTGTGACCTTGGGCAACTTCTAAACCTTTCTGTGCTTCAGCTTTCTTGTCTTTTAAATAGTCATGATAATGAGTATTTACATTGTAGGGTTGTTGAGAGGATTAAATGAGTTATTATTTGAAAAACATTTAACATAGTTTCTAGTACATATACAGTGTTGTATTTTGTTTTGTTTTGCTTTGAACTTCAGACCAATAGACAAAATGGCCTGGGTGCAGTATCAATGATGAGATATTCTCAATTCCTAGCTGAACCTGAGGGATGACATTTGTTCCTCGCAAACCCGGACTTCAGAGCATATGTAATTTCAGAAGCCAATGAGATCGACACCTTGTCAGGACCCTGCTCCAGTCCTCAGCACTGAAGGTGTTTTCCTCAGGAGTCTGCCTTGACAACACAGTGACCTGGTGAATATTTCAGGTGGGTGCCTGGAGATTCCTAAAGTATTTCCCTTCCTGTAACTATGGGAGCAAATGACACCTGTCACTCACTGGGTAGCCCTGAACAAACAGCCTTCACCTGGACCTTGGCCTACTCAGGCCCCCCACACCTGGGTAAGTAAGCTTAGTTGTTCCAAACCCTGGTCCCCTTACCTGTGAAATGGGGACAATAATGGTACCAATGAGTTAATGCACAGAAAGTGATTACACAGGGTCTGTGTGTTCTATGAGTATAATGATCTGTCATTCATGTCTGGGCCATCTCTGCTAGTTTCTTCATACTGCAAGTCCCAGGAAGTTGGGACAACCCACTTTTGATTCTGTTTGCATAGCCCTTTCCCCACACCATCTGCAATTAAATGCTGTACAGATGAGGAAGCTGGGGCCTGCCTTTGGACTTTAGTTTTCTTTAGAATGTTAATTGATTGCATCTACACTTCCAGGCTATCCTGGAACTCAAAGATGCAAGTTTCTTCCTGTATTAGTTTTTGTTGGTTTATGCTGCCATCTTAATAGGACGCCAAGCCACTGCCTCTCAAGGGCCTCCCTGCCTAAGCAAGGAAACTTGTAGATCCAGGCCTTGCTGGATGACAGCTGAACAACTGCCCTCCGCCTTGCCTTTGTGGGCTGCTATTTAACCCAAGGGCCTGTTGGTTCTGAGATAGCAACTCCAAGGAAAGTGTTAAAGAAAAACAAAGCTGGACACTAGTTCATGGTGGTAAAGACAGATTTTATTCCGTACTACTGCAGGAGAGAAAGAGACTTTAAGTCTAGAACTGAGCTTGATTCTGATCTGTGTAGAGGTGAATTGGCCTTTTAAAGGGAGAATGAGGGAGTAGGAAGGGGGAGCAAGTGGGGGCTCAAGCATTGCCAGAAAGTGAAAAATTACAAAAAGTGGGTAGTCAATGTCAGTGTGATTATGCCATCTGTGTCCGGTCACTGGCACTTACCCAGGTTCAGCTACCCCTCTCCCACAGACACCTTCCGGATGATTACGCTTCAAAGGAATGGCTCCCAGGTCCCTAAGAAAAGCACTCCTGGGTTCTAGGAGATACATGTACATCTCAAAGGCACAGGGAAAGGATTTACAACAGTAAGAGTTTTAAATAAATGCTCTAAGGAAATGGAGGTCAGGGGCCTATCAGCAGATATTGGGTGGAACAAATGGTAGATTGTATTGGCAGCTTTGAGTTTATTTAGACAGGAACTCAAGGAGAGGCTGAGCTGCCACAGGGACACAGTGGCCTTAGGCTGCTAGAAGCCATGTTAGATTTTTGGTTTTTTTCCAAGTGTGTGGGGTAGAAAAAATTGTTTGTGTGGAGAGTTGCAGTTCTTATAGGAAAAGGTTGAGGCCTAGTCAAGAAAAGTGCTCAGAGGAACCTGGCCAAAATTTGGCCAATGAGAGGGTCTTTGTCAAAGGGAAGGTAGAAGTCAATGAAGCTGTTCCTGCTGAGGTTGTTAGAAGATCAAAAATGAGCAATGTTCCAATGTTCTACACATGGCCAAGAAAGAACCGAAGCAATGCAGGATCAGGTTGGTATTTGCAGAAAGAGAAGGCAAAGTTTTTTTGTTGTTGTTGTTGTTTTGTTTGTTTGTTTGTTTGTTTGTTTGTTTGTTTGTTTGTTTAGCTGAGCCATCCTGCCACCTGTTGGCAGCTCAACGGCTGCTCAGCTCAGGCCGGGACTTGAACCGCTGTTGCTCAGAGCTCAAACTCTTGAGCAAGCTCTTAACTAACTGAGCCACTCAGCCAGCCCCAGAAAGAGAACAGACATAGATTCTCTCCTCAGTGGTATCCTGACTACAGACTTCCAGTCCTTCCAAAAGAGTCAACTCTGGTGCACATCAGAATTCTTGGGAGAACATGTTGAAATGCGATTTCAGGCCCCACCACCAGATTCAATACTAGGGCCTGTGACTCTGTATATTTAACAAGCCCTCAGGGGCTTCTGACACAAGCAGTCCCAAGGCCACATTTGAGAAAACTGGTTTAAAGTATAACATCATCTCTCAAATAGACACACACAACCAGAAGCCTTCTTCAGCCAAGCACCCACAGAAATTATCTCTTGCCCTAGAAACTCTGGGGTCACCCTGCCTACTGGCTCCTACCTCCTATTGCTATTTATTTTTCATGGGCCCACTTATCTCTAGGTTGCACTCTCACAGCCTTCCCTGGCTAGATGTTCATTACCCAGCCTGCTCTGCAGCACCCAGACCTTCACCTTGGCCTTCACCTGCCGGTCACTCCCAGGAGTCCACAGTGTGCCCAGGGACTGAGACTGCTTCCCCATAGCCCACCTTCTTTCCAGGGTCTCTCTTTGAACCCATGGCCCCAAGCCCTCAGGGAATAAGCAGACAAGAACACTTAATGGGATAGGGAAGTCTAACTTCCCTTGGCCTGCTGTAGTTTATTAATGATAAAACGCAATGGGTCCAGTAGCAAAGAGCATGCCTAGCCCCTAGATCTTGGTTTCTAATACTATTCCCCAATAAAAAGAAGCAGGACTCCTCAGACAAATGGCTGATTGTAGGATGCGGGCAGGGAATACACAAAACGAGCCTTGAGGATCTTGGAGCACTAGAAAATAAGGACTTGAAGCTGCTCAGGGGAAAGATAGCGATGTTTGTTATCCAGTGACAAGAAGGGGCCAGTTGAGAACCGTTCCATGCCGAGGATAGCCATCCGGAGGGCACCCTGCCTGCCTACCAGGTGACCTCAGGCTCGGGTTCTCCCGCCCGCCGCAACAGGTCCCAGGTGGGAGAAGGGCGGGGCGGGACAGGGCGGGCGCCTGGGTCCCTGCGGCCGCCGCCAGAGGGCAGCCAGGGAGCGCGCCGGGCGGCTTGGCCGAACTCGCAGGTAAGTCCGGCTAAAGTGGGGCCGCCCCTGTTTCGGGGCACAGTATCCTAGGGCTGGGAAGTGCGTTTGGCTTCGTGGTGGGAGCCCAGGGGTCGCGCAGGGTGGCCCTGGCCGTGTAGGTGGGAACTGGGAGCTCTTTGCGCCCGGGGAGGGGGCGAGCCCCGGGCCAGTGGGGCGCGGGCAGCGCCTGGGCCCGGCCTCCTGAGAGGTTGGCGCTCTACGTCTGGCCTGCAGCCGGCCGGGGGCCCTCTGGGGAAGCCTGTCCTGCGCCCGGAGCCGGGGGCCCGCGGGGGCGAGGCGGGGGCGGCCGAGTGGGGGAGGGGAGTGGGTGGCGAGAGGGCGGGCGAGGGCGGCCGCGAACACCAGGCGGCGCTGGGGTGAGCATGCCTGGCGAGCGAGTCAACAAGTGCGGTGTTTACCGAGCGCCCGCCGGGGCGCGCACGTGCGGTGGTGGGGACCTGGGCGTACTTGGGCCTGGCCTTGGGTGAAGATCCCACCCTCCAGATGATTGGCGTGGGGCGCCGTGGTGGACCCGGGCCCTGGACACTTGACGTTTCGCCCATCACTAGGTGTCCAGGAGTGTGTGAGTGCAGCATGGAAGGGTTTCTCGCTGGCCAGACCAGATTCCTCCTGCTCACCCTGCCCACCTCCTTCAGCCTGAGAATCCTGCCCCGAAATCCAGTCCTCACGAAACCCACTCCCAGCCGTCAGGCCCACCTCTGTGTTTCCCAGGCAGAAAGATTTGGAAAGAGTGTTGAAGTTCATCCAGGGCTCCTCACTGCCTTCAGGGTGAGGGCTCTGGCCTTACAGTGGTGCCCGTGACACCTGCACTGTTGGGACGGAAGCCTCCTTGGACTACAGCGAGGGGCTCTGCTCGGAAGTCGGGGAATTTTGTCCCCTACCCGGTCGCTCAGGGGCTGAGGACCCGATTTTCCCACCTGGGTGATCCGTAACTCTGCCCTACCCCCACCCCGGAGGTTGCCCTGGGGAGAGATGAGATGTGGAAGGGGGAAACCCATCCTCAGTGAGGTCAGCGCCAGGGGATTCCTGGCTCCATCGGGGTGGATCGGGGTGGATCGGGGCTCCATCGGGGTGCAGCGGGGTGGGAACCTTTGGTGCTCTCAGCAGTCTGAGGGCTGGGGAGTCAGCCCTGGCCACCCTGGTAAGAGCATTGGCAGAGCCAGGGCTGCAGTTCTGTCTTTGCCCCTCTCTGCTCCCCCACCTTGAGAAACTGTGCCCTTACCCAGTCTCCATGTCCCTCCATCCTCCTGCCTCTTCCATCCACTTGGCCTCCCATCTCTTGGGGGGAAAAAAACATACGTGGGAGTCATTAGCTTCGTTTCCTCTTTTCTCTCACTGTCACATTTTCCTGACAAGTGCTCTGCACCTGCTGCCTGCCTCTCTGCTCCACGCCTCCCTTCCTAATCCTCCGCAGCCTGGCTGCTGCTGGCCCCACCACTTTGCTGAAACTGCTTCCCTGAAAATCATCTTGTTTCCAAACACTGCTCTTTTGTCCGCCGTCCATCTGCCCGGGAAGCGGACCCCCGTGTTGCATGCATCCTCTTTGCAGCCTTTCTCTGCTGTGATTTCTGGGGCACCCATCTCTCCTGGCTTTGTTCTTATTTCCCCATTGTTCCTTCTCCTCTTCTGACCCCTCTTCCCTCTTATCTGGGCATTTAATGAGGCCTCGTGTTTAGCTTCTCAGAGAACTCGCTCCGGATGCCCTCAGGGAGTCCCCCTCTGGAGTCCAGCTCCAGTCTTGGCTCTTTGGGGGCCCAGTGACACCCCACACTCAGCATGTCCAAGGCTGGCCTGCTCCTTCTCCTGGGCAACTGCCCTCACCTCCTCAACAGTGGGTTTCCTCCTCTGTCCCACTCACTTTTCTCTGAAGTGTCTCTGCCTCTCCCTGTCCCTTTGTGACCAGGGCTTGAATGTCTCAGGCCAGAGTTCAGAGGCCCCTTCACTGGTCTCTCTGGTGCCACAATCTCCTCCAGCCCCCACAGCCCATTTGGCATGTCGCCTCTAGCCTGCTGGTCCCTGACTACTGTGTTTACCCTGTCGCTGAATCCTCTTCCCTAAGAAATCTTCCGAGGCTTTGGGTTTCCTCCCACACAAAGCTGGCTCCTCTGTCTACCTCATGTGGCTCCTTAGTCATGTGGCCTCACTCTCTAGAACCAATTTCCGGTCCTGCAACTTCTTCCCTCCCCACCTCTCAGGGCCAGCCCGTTGGCCCTTTCCCTTTGGGACCCAGCTCAGAAGCCATTTCCCTGGGACAGCTTGGCCTCGCTCCAGTCTGCCCTGGCGCCACTATTGCAGCTGTCTGTATGCCGACGGCAGGTTCCTCTGTGTCAATGAATCCTTTTCCCTTCCTCCTGAATCCCCAGGATGCTCAGGGAAGGACTTCTCTCTCCCAATCTTCCCAAACACCTCCTATCATCCTTCAAACTCTACCTCCCTCCTGGACTGTTCCAGTCTTCCATATTCCCATCGGTCTGCACTCCCGCTGAGCTTACTGATTAATTCATTACAGTTTGTGCCACCCAAGTTAATACTTTGTTCTCTGCTGTTAGCCTCCAGTTGTATCATGGGTGTGAGAGATGCTTATCCAGCTCTTAATCATAGCAGCTGTTTCTGAGTGGCCATTATGTGTGGGGCAGTTGCTGATTTTCCAGGCGTTCCCTCATGTGTGTTATCCTCCCAGCGTCTAGAACGGCAGATACTGTGATTATTGTCTTCATTCTGCCCCTGAAGAAACAAACCCAGAGAGGTCCACACACCTGCCTACACCACACCGCTTGTAGGTGGGCAGAGCAAAGGTTGGATCTCAAGTCTGTAACTTCGAGGCTGATTTTTGATACTAGAATTTGCTGTTTGTCCAGGAAAGCATTATGCCTCAGTCCAGGGAGTGTGTTACACAGGTCCTCTCAGCACCTGGCTTGTGCAGAACGTCCTGGTGTCTCGGTCAGTGGATTCCTTGGGACTCCAGAAAAGAACTTTGTCACAGAACAGATGGTTAATGTTGGGACCAGTGACTCACGGACGCTGTGACATCCACAGATGGTTAATAGTGGGACCAGTGACTCAGGAACGCTGTGACATCTGCCCAAGAGGCCTTCAAAACAGGGTGTGTATGTGTGTATGTGAGTGCGTTTTAAGTAAGAGGTGGAACAGAGAACCCCCAGGGGCCCTTAGGTCATTTTTGTCCCTTAAATCACTTTTAAATGCTTCTTTTGGTAACAAAATCAATTCCCCACCTCTACCCCCCAATAGTACCCCCTTCAACTAAGTTTCTTTAGGAGCTGTCCTCCCTTCCCTCCACAGGTCACTGTCATATGAAAATGAGTTCCTGCTGTGAAATACAGTTGCCATGGCAACCAGTAGTGCGAGGCCCCAGTCTATTGCTCTTAGGTCCCTGCACTGTATGCTTTGAAAGGCTTTTTCCGTCTTTGTCACCTAAAAAAATGAAGTAATCCACTTACTTTCCTTTTACATGGACATTTACATTTTTTTTTTTCAGGCAGCAATTTCTGGGCACTGTCGGTGCCCCAGCAGCTTGTCACCGGGCTGCTGGCACACCATTAATAATGACCCTGAATGGTGCCCCTGGTTTAGGTCACATTTGGAGTGAAATTCAGTGTCCTGTGTATAAAAAGACAGTAGTAGGCCATCAGGCCTCCTTGGTGATGGTAGAGGCAGAGGGAGAGACAGTGGGCTGGAGTGGCGGGGAGGGCCAGTTGGTGGTGAAATTGTTTGCTCAGTTGCTGTCTCCTCCTGTGTGAGGTCCTTGCTCGACTGTTTTGGCAGGGGCTACCCAAAGCAGGATACCTTGGGTGCTGAGAAAGACAGGGTGCCTTAGGTGGTGACCATACCCTACCAACACTAATGAGTGCTTACGATGCGCAGGCACTGTTCCTGTAGTTAATCCTCAACCAAATGAACTTAGAAGTGTTATTATTATCATCCCCATTTTACAGGTAAAGCCATTGATGCACAGAGAGGTTAAGTGCTTGATGCAGGACACACAGCAAGTAGGTGGTAGAATCGGGCTTTAGTCTTTGGAAGTCTGACTCCAATGGCCAATTAATGCTCTTTACTTGGCTCCAAATAGACAGTGGAAGGACTACGTTTAAAAAAAGAAAGGGTAAATTGGAGAGGTGGGGCAGATTGACTTTCTAAAGATTTGAGGCTTAAAGCAGTAGTTTTCAATGTTTTATATTTTACGATGGGTAAAAGGCTGCTGTGAAAAGGCATGTACTACAATAGAATGTTCATAGCAGCACTGTTTGTAACAGCCCTGAACTGGAAATCACCCAATATTAATCAGAAATAGAATGGACAAATAAATTGGGATGAATTCATACACTAGAACACTAGAACGCAGTGAGCATGAACAGTGTACAGCTACACGGAACAACATGGATGAATCACACAAACACACTGTTAAACAAAGGAGCGCAATGAGAAAGAGCACATGCTCTATAATTCCATTTCTGTCAAGTGCACGTGAGGCAACATGAATATAAGGTATTGGAAGTCGGGATGGCGGGTTCCTGGAGGCACCAGAAAAGCTTCAGGAGGCGGGTAATGTTTGTTTTTTTTATCTGGGTGTTGGTCACATAGGTGCGTTCATATTATCAAAATTCATCCGTTTTGATATGTGTCCTTCTCTGTGCGTACGTGTCATACTTCAGTAAAATGTACTGCAACCCGGAAAAAGGCAGCAGGGACCCTGTACCCAGCACGTGAATACAGATACTCCATTCTCTTATAGGGGCCCCACCCTGACTTCACTGTCCCTGGAATCTTGGATTTCTTGGGAGGTGATATGTGGGTGGGCACCTAGATTCTGGGGCGGGGACAGCTCGGGATGAGGGAGCAGGGCCAGGGTCAGCCCTGGTTTCTTCCAGTCCCCCTCCACTCTGCTGAGTTTGGGGAGAGCTTGCGAAGCTAAGAGGTGGGTGGTTTCTGCTGAGTCCATGCGGTAGCCCATTTCTCGCTGC